TCTCTTTTTTTCTCTTTTTTTTCTTTTTCTCTCTCTCTGTTCTTTTTTCTTGCCATTTTTTTATCAAAATATGGAAAAAATTAAAAACTTTTTTCTTTTCTTTTTTTTAGCATCTTTTTTCTCTTGTTTTCTTTTTTTCAAAATTTTTTTTTTTTTTTTTTTTTTTGTAGTCTTTTTTTTCTTTTTTTCTTCTTTTTTGTTTCTCCTTTTCAAAATTTTTAATTTTCAATTTTTCCTTCTTTCTTTAATTTCTTAAATTTCCTTTCCTCTTAAAATCTCTTTTTTAACCTTTTTTTTTTTCTTTTTTATATTCTTTTTTTTTTTTTTTTCTCTAACAAAAGTCCCTTGTTTTTTTTTTTGCATTATTCCTTCACCAAATGCCTATAATTTTAAATTAACATTTTTTATGAATTTTTTTGTTCTCAATTTCAAAGAATAATTTTTATTTGTTTCTTTTTTTTGACACAAAATTTTTTTTTTTGTTTGAATTTTACAAATTTTAAAGGAATTAATTTTGTTCTTCATTCAAAATTTTTTTAAAAAAAAAACAAAATTGAAAAATTAAATTTATTTTTTTCAAAAAAAACTCTTTTTTTTTTTTTAATGATGGTGCTCTTTTTACATAATGATTATTATTTAAAATAATTGATTTAATTTTTCTAAAAAAAAAATATTAAAGATAAAAAGTTTTTTTTTAAAAATATATTTTTACACTATCTATATTTATATTTAATATAGAAAATTTTTAAATTTTAAATTTTTTAAAATCTGTTTTCAAATTTTTATATATAAATGATATTTCTTAGAAATAATTTTTTGTTTTCTTAACCGCAATAAATTTTGAAAATCTAATTTCTTACTGATCCTTTTTTTTTATATATTTGGATATATTCACGATTTTTTAAGATGTTCCTAATTTTTTTTTCTCCAGAATTAAATTCTTCAAAAATTTTAAAATTCAAAGGTTGGTTAACTGTTGAGAATGTTATTTCAACGTTGTATTTTATATATATATATATAGAAATAAAGAAATAAATTTAAAAACTTTAAGTGTATTATTTCAGAAATTCGATTTTTTTTTTTTTTAATATTTATTTGGTAAAATTTTAACATATATAAAAAAATTTTTTTTTTATTTAACTATAATATTTACACAATTGCGGGTTGAAAATTTATTCATTTTAAATCAAATTTTTAAAATAAAATTAAATTTTATAATATATATATTGTCGTCTTTTTGAAAAAAAGACCTTGAGAAAGATATTGTCCTATTTTTAAAAAAATTTAAAAAAAAATCAATTAAAAAAATTTTTATTTTAATTCATCTTAAAAAATTAATTTTTAACTAATTTTTTAACCTTAAATTCATTTAAAAGTTTTGATATTTTCATTATTTTTTTTTTTTTTTTTTTTTTTTCTTTTTTTAATAAATATAAATAAATTTTAAAATTTATTTGTCAGTAAAAAAAAAAAACTTTTTTAATTTTCAAAATCAACCTATTTTAAAACAGTTTTCAATGAAAATGATAACATACTAATTAATTTTTTCAGATTATTTTAAATCTTTTAAAAAAAATTTTTGAATATTTATTTTAATTATATTAAAATTCATGAATAGAAAATAAGAGATTTTTCCTATAAAAAAAAAATAAAAAATTAAATAAAATATATTTGCAATATACATACCATTCTAGTAAATTTTGCAATTTTATATACAAAATTTTTTTAAAAAAAATTTATTCTTTTCTATCTTTAGAAAATGTTGATTTATATAAAAAATTAATGAAATTTATTGATAGATTGGAAGAAAATTTATTAATTTAAAATTTTCAAAATGGCAGGTTAACAAAATGTTTTAAAAATTTTAAAAAAATAAATAATAGAAAATAACTAAATAAAAAAAATTAAATTATTTTTGAATTTTTGAATTTAAACAAATTTTTTTCAAACTGAAAATTTATTTAAAACTAAAAAATTGATTTCCATGGTTTTTTAAATTAACACTACATTTTTAAAACAACCAAACATTTTTTGGTGAATTAATATTAAAATTTTCTTCAAAACAAAAAAATAATTCAATTTTTGTTGATAAAAACAGCTTTTTTTTTCAAAAAAAGTTTGAATGAAGATTTTAAAAATTGTTTTTTTTTTTTTTTTTTCTCAATTTTCATTATCTAATTGAAATTTTGTTTGTTTCCAATTTTAATTTTAGGTATTCGTTATTTTTTTCATAAAAATTTGATTCCCAAAAAAAAATTCCATTTTATTTTTTCAACTTTTTAAAATTCCTTTTCCATTTATTATTGCAAAAAATTTCCATGTACTGAATTTCAGTTTGATTCATATTTATTTTTTTATAGTTTTTTATTTTATGTTTAAAAATTTTTATTTTTATTTTTTTTTTTTTAATTAATATTTCAATTTTTTTTTCCTTTTTTAAAATTCTTTTGCTTGTGTTAAAAATTATTTCTTTTCCAAGTTTTTGTTGAAAATTGTTTATTTTTTTTTTCCATTTCTTTTGATGAAAATAATTTTTCTAAAAATTTTTAAAAATAGATTTTATTTTTTTTTTTTTGATCAAAAAATGTTTAATAACCATCATGTTTTTGTATTTTCTAAAATTTAAAAAAAATATTTAAAATATATCCAAAACCACTTTTTTCTATTAATTGAAAATTTCTCAAATCTCTGAAAATTTTTTCAAATTTCATGAATTTTACTTAGTTAAAAAAAAAAATTTGTTAAAATTCTGATCATTGTTTCTTGATCTTATCTTTTCTTTTTTTTAAATCGTCTTTATTTTTTTTTTATTTTTTAGAATTTTTCCTTTTCATTCTTAACAGAAATGTTCGAAATTTAAAAATTTATCAAAAATTATAAATGTTGGTAATTTTTAAATTTTAATCATTGAATTTGTCAATAAAAGTTTATTTTCCAATATGTTTCTTAAAAAATTGATATTTTCAAATTGGGTTTTATTTTTTTAAATTTTTCACCCACTTCTATGCAAAAAAATTTTAAGACACATTTATTTTTAGTATAAATTATATTTATTTTTATCAAGATAAAGGATTTCTTTACCAACAACAAACAAAAAAAAAAATATCAATAAATTTTTAAATAAAATTCATTTTTTAAAAAATATATAAAATGAATTCCAAAAAAACTATTTAATATAATTAATGATAATTCATTTTGTCTTTTTTTTCTTTTTTTTAAAAAAATATTTATGAAATTTATTTTTAAAATAAATATCAACCTTTTTTTTTTTTAATTTTAATATTTCATTTTTTTTTTATTTTTGAAAAATAATTTTTCAATAAAAAAGCAAATCAAATTTAAATTTATATTTTTATTTAATTTTTATAAATTTTATATAAACAATTTTTAATAAATGATGTTGTTTATTTTCTTTTTTGAAATATTTTGTTTATTTGAAAATTTCTTTAAAAAGGTGTTCTTTTTTGAAATTTGCAAATTTTTGTTTCAAATTGACCAATTTGCATATAAACTTTTTCTTTTTTTTTTTTTTTAATTTTTTTTTTTTTTTTAAATATTTTTATGATTTTAATGAGCTATATAGAATAAAAAGAAATTTGCCAATGGATTTAATTTAAATTTCCAATATTTTTATTGATGAAAAATCAAAATAAAATGAAAAATACACAAAAAATTCATTTTTTTTGAAGATATTTTAAAAATTCTTTGTTGACAAAATAAAAATGTCAATCTTTCTTTTGTTTTTTTCAGAAATAAAAATGAAATTTTTTAATTACAAATATTCATTTAAATTTTTTTTGATTAATTTAATAAAAATTTATAAAATCAATCGTTTTATCTCACTTACTAAAGATATATTTATTGTATATTTTAAAAACATTTGAAAAAACATTGTTTAAGTTCACTTCCTGTTTAAACAACAAACGCCACAAAATGCAAATTTATTAAAAAATAAAAGAACATTCATTTTTTTAGGAAATTTTTTTTAACTAACCAAGAATAAAAAATTGGGGGCAATCTTTTTTTGTATTTTTTAAAAAATTTTTATTTATTTACTCTTTCCTAATTATGAATATATTTTCAATCAATTTTTGCAAATTTTTTCATATATCTAATTTTGTAATTATATATATTTATATATAAATATATATATATTATATATAATATTTTTTATTTATAGAAATATCAATATTTATTTTTAATTTCATTATTTGATTAAATTATAATAATTCAAAATTCAAAAAAAATATTTTGTGTTAATTTTATAAGAATGAATAATTTTTAATAAATTTTTTTAATTTTTTAATTTTCGTAAATTTTTTTTTTAAAAATTTTTCAATAGAACATTTTTTTTTTAAATAAAAAAAAAACTTTATTTTTAAAAATTTTTTAATTTTTATTTTTTTAATATATGAAGTTTTTTACAAATATTTTATTATTTAAAAAAAAACATTTTTAATTTGAATAAAAAGAATTTTAATGGTTGAAATTTTTATCAAGTATAAGCAATATCAATATTTAATTTTAAAATGTATTAAAACATTTACTTTTCTAAAAAATTAAATTTATAAATTTATGAAAATATATATATATTAAATATAGGTACCTCCACGAGATCGCTAAAAAAAAAGCATAGCATGATGAAAAAAAGACGCCAAACTTGACGAAAACAAAATTTTATCGTCTAAATGTTTGTTATTATTAAGAGGAAAGGTCAAAGTATTTTTTTTGGTATTTTTTTCCATTTTTAATCGTTCCTAGCACGTCCGAAATTTTCGTTAAAAATCTAGTTTTTTTTTTGAGTCAGCAAAATTGACCATTTTTTTTCCATTTTAAAAAAAAAAAAATCTGACTTTGAAATTTTTTTAAATATCAATTATCATTTTTTCAAAACTTATTTTAAGAAAATCAGAAATTATAATGTTTATTTAAAATATTTTGAACCAAACTTAACTTAGCTTTTGTGCAAAAGATGTAATTTGAAAATAAAACAAAGCAGG